GTGTCGCCGCCCGTGCCCGGCCCGCACGCGCCGCCCGGCCCGCTGCTCCCGCCTCGCTTCTACCCGCGCTACGTGCTGCCACTTGCCTTCGGCAAGTACTTCGCGTCCGTGTCGGCGCACGTCAGCATCTGGAAGGTGCCCGTGTCCTATGCGCATACCGGTAGGTGCCGGCGCCGGGGACGCCTGTCTGGGGTCTTTGCGCTCGGCCAGGAGTGCGTGAGGGGCCAACTTGTGCCCTCTGAGCAGGAGAGACCCACCTGGGGGTCTCGGGGGAGAGGAAGGAGCTGAGCAGGCCGGGTCACACCGTTTAGGGTAGGGTAGGGGGCAGCCCTGCAGAAAGAGAGGGCTGAAGAGGTTTGAGAGGCGGCCAAGCTGCCAGTCCCGCCCCTCCCCAGCCTGAGAGGTGGGACAGGCTCCTAGGGTGGGCTCCTGAGCGCCCCTTGCCTCTCTTTGCAGTCAAGGCCACCATGCCCATCTGGGTGGTCCTCCTGTCCCGAATCATCATGAAGGAGAGACAGAGCACCAAGGTAAGGGGGCTCTGGCTGCTGGTGGACCCAGGGCTGCCTGCCGGGCCTCACCAGGTGACGTGGTCCAGGCTCCCAGGCTGCCTGGTTCCTGTCAGATAAGGAAATCAGCCCCGTGAACTTCCAGGGCCCTTTCACTGCTAATGTTCTAGAATCCCTTTGGTCAGTGGTGTGGGGGTGCGGAGGGGGTATCCCAGAGCTGCCTCTGCTGTGTGGTCTGGGGGATGCCCCACCCCTCTGAAGCCAATCTGTCCGCCCTGTCCACATTACCTATGTAGGGGTTGCAGGTAGGCTACCGGTAGCTTCTTGGTGATGACGTGGTTGCATCTTGGCCCAACACCTTTGCCCTCTAGCAGGACCAGGTATGGAATGCCTGGCGTCTGCCGGCACTCTTTGTGATGTAGTTTCATTTCCTTCTAAGAGAGTGGGGACAGGTAGGGACCTTCTGGAATAAGAAGGGAAGTGCTAGTCAAAGGAGTCTGCTTTTGACATAAGTCAGCCCAGTCTTAAGAATTTTGATCGTTGTGGGGTCGTTCTGGGGATGGAAATACAAACATCACTCAGACCCGGGGCTGCCTTAGGCTCTTGACACAGCCCAGGATCAGTTCAAGATGGTAAGCCACGGTGTTTCCTACTTGGGGTGGGTGGGAGAATCTGGGGCCTCAGCCAGAAACAGCCGCCTTCCCTGGTGCCTTAGGTGGCAGCGGGGCTCTTTCTGCCCCAGCTGGAACCCATTTCCATGCTGGACAGAGCCCTCTTCCCCAGGTGGTCAGTTTCTGTCTGGCATTGTGCTTTTTTTGTAACTCAGAACAGTGGTCCTGCCCTGGATCAGCTTGTAGAAATTGGGCCATCTCTGGCGAGTTTTTATTTTTATTTTAGCCTGTCTTGATCCTAGCAGAGCGGGGTGTGCTCTGCCGCCCGCCCCTGGGTGATGTCAGGTGGGTGGGTGACTGTCTTGCCAGGGTCAGAGCTGCCTGGGAGGTGTGTGACTGCATCAGTCAATATCACTCCGAGTTTATGAGGTTTCCTGTTGCTAAGTTTATCCGGTTTCCTGGTTGCAGGTTGCAGGGGAGGTTGTAACCACCCTGGGCATGGCTGGGGCCCGGAAACTTTGCACAGCTGGAAAGGGCCCTCCCAGGCAGGGTGAGAAATGATAAGTAACTTTGACTAGACCCGCCACCACTACCCCCCTCTGAGACAGATAAAGCAGGTAATCAGATAAGGGGACTTCAAAGGGGACAGTCACATGCCCGTGGGCTGGCATTGTAGCTGGTCAGGGCTTAATGGTGACAGTGCCCCCAGGGCATCACAGGCTTGAGAGCTTTCTTGCTAAGAATTGGAAATTGAGCCTTTTTGCACCAGAGCTCAGGCGCCATCCCTTGCACTCACGCTGGAATGCTGGGCCTCTGGTCACCTCCTAGCACTGTATTCACTGCATGTTCATTCAGCCAGCAGTACTGAGTGCCTACTGTGTGCTGGCACCAGGATAGAACAGTGAGCAAGGGCCTGCCCTGACGGAGTACACGTTAAAACACAGGATTAAACAGGCAGTTACGACGTTGGGGGCAGTTGTGGCTCAGTGGCAGAATGCTCGCTTTCCATGCAGAAGACCCAGGTTTGATTCCAGGCTAACGCTCCTCATGTACAGCTACCACCGTCTGTCAGTGGAGGCTTGCATGTTGCCAGGATGCTGGACAGCTGTCAGTAGAGCTTCCAGACAAAGGAAGAAAGGTCTGGCAATCAACTTCCAAAAATTAGCCAGTGAAAACCCTATGATCACAATGATCCTATCTGCAGTCCATCATGGGGATGGCACAGAACAAGGCAGCATTTTATTCCATCGTTCATGGGGTCGCCATGAGTTGGGGCCGACTCAACAGCAGCTATGTACAATGTTGGGTACAGCGTGATGCCACATGGGAGGCACAGGTGGCAGTGGGAACCCCTAGCAGAGGGACACTCGGGACGAGGGTGGAACAGGGGATGTTCTCCTTGGAATGATGAGGGAACAGAGACCTGAAGAGTGAGGGGGAAGGAGGAGCGGGTGGGATGGCGTGGGGATGGAGCGTGTCCCAGGCAGGGGTGATGGTGTGTTTCAAGGGCCTGAAGTAGGAGGGAGTGGAGACTTTATTAACATTTGTGCCAGTGGCGGAGCCCCTGGGAGGTGCAAACTGTGAACGTGCTCAGCTGCTAACTGAAAGGTTTGAGGTTCGAGTCCACCGAGAGGTGCATCGGAAGAAAGGCCCAGTGATTTACTTCCCAAAAATCGGCCGTTGAAAGCCCTATGGAGCACATGGGGTCACCAGGAGTAGGAGTCAATTTTGACAGCAACTGGTGGTGCCAGTGGGAGTCTCTTGGAAGTTCAGGGTTTCAGATTCTTCTTGAGCAGAGACTCTGAGTGGAATGTGGAATAGGGCATGGGGCTGCCCATGGCGACATAGCCCTGCCCCAGATATTGTGTAGCCATCTGCTCCCCTCAACCCCCACCAGCATCCCTGTCACAGTTTCCCAAAAGGGGTATGGTATCCCTCTGGGGTGTCATGCCAGTGAAGGAGGATACAGTGGCTGAAGCTTTGCTCGAGGCCCCTATAACGGGTCCCAGGAGCCAGCTGTCAGCCCCCGCCTTCCTCCCCAGGTATACTTGTCCCTCATCCCCATCATCAGCGGCGTCCTGCTGGCCACTGTCACGGAGCTGTCTTTCGACATGTGGGGGCTCCTCAGTGCCCTGGCAGCCACCCTGTGCTTCTCACTTCAGAATATCTTCTCCAAAAAGGTACTGGGGTCACCGTCAGGGTGTGCATGGTGGGTCAGGGCATGCAGGTGGCAGCTGAGCAGACATGAGGTGGGGCCACATAGAGATTTCTCAGTGTCAGTGCAGGGGAATCCTTGTTGCCCATCTGCTGGCTTTCTGTTTGCTATTTTATTTTTTGAATAGTTTCTGTTTTTCTTTTGAGAAATTCATGTCTGCCCAATGTGAAGCAAAAGAAAAACCCAATGAAAAATCAAAAAAGATTGAGGACCTACTGTGTGACGGGCACTATGGAGGGTGGTGGAGATGAAGAATCAAATGAAACCTGTCCCCTGCCCAAGGAGTTTCCATTTGATTGAGACAGTCACAGTACTGTCCCCTAAGGACACTACTAATGAGTTTTTTTTCTGTGCATATATTAGAGTTGCACTATTATAGCTATGGAGCCCTGGTGGCGAAGTGATTAAGAACTATAGCTGCTAACCAAAAGGTGGGCAGTTTGAATCCACCAGCCACTCCTTGGAAACCCTATGGGGCACTTCTCCTCTGACCTGTAGGGTCGCTAGGAGTCTGAATCGACTCAACAGCAACAGGTTTGGTTTTTTTATTATAGCTATATTTTAAAATCCTGCTTTGTTCACTTACTGTTACAGCATAAGCATTTTCCCATATCACTAGAAATTACCGCTCTTAACTGCTACAATAATTACACTCTTTTCATGTACCACAGTGAATGCAGTCATGTTCTGTACTGGAAATACAGGTTGTTTCCAACCGTTCGTTATAAATAACACAGCCACAAACATCTTTGTACATAACATTTTCCTGCCTCAGGTTATTTCCTTATGATGGGTTTCCAGTTCTTGGGTCAGAAGGTATGAAGGTTTGGTGGCTCTTGAAATCCTTTGCCTGGTTTTAGTCTGGAAAGGTTACACCAATTTATCCTTAAACCAGCAATATTTAAGAGTGCCTCGTTCACTGCAGTTTTGCCAGCATTGACCGTTACCTTTTTCCTGGTCCTTCATAAAACAGCGCTTGTTTTGGGCGCGTTCTGTGTAAGTGCACTTGTAGGTTTGGTTGTTGAGTTGGATGTCAGGGTTAATGTGTATTTGTTCGATTTGGGATCTGGCACCCCCTTTCCAGTCATAGATTCAATCAGCCTTCAAGGAGACTTTCTCTCGTCAGGTGTTGAGAGATTCCCGGATCCACCACCTCAGGCTGCTGAACATCCTGGGCTGCCATGCCATCTTCTTCATGATACCCACGTGGGTTCTGGTGGACCTCTCGGCGTTCCTGGTCAGCAGTGACCTGGTGAGTTGGCCGGCCCCAAGCACTCGCCCGTCTCCTGACTGGTTCCAGAGTCGATGCTTTGTTGGGTGTCACAGCTCTGCATTGACTCTGGGAATTTCTGGTGTCTGACGCTAGCCTTCCAACACTCGGCTTTTTCTTATGACTGATGTTACATGCGGTTGAGGAAGTCAGCCTCCTTGATGTTCCTTCCAAAGCGTGCTTGAGTTCAGCTCCTGATAGCTGTTGCATTTGTGCCGGTAGCATCAAGGAAGCGAAAAATGGCTCTGCAGGTGGCTCTTTCCTGTCCTGACAAATCTTGTTCAGATCTCATTCTGACTTTTAAAAACTGCTTGCAATGATCGATTGCTTTGTGGGCCTTGTCTCTGTCCTTATGTCCATTTGCTCCAAAGGTATCCGTGGCTCCCTGAGCACTAGAATGAGAGTCTTTCCACTCCTGCAGAGTTAGATACCAGAGAATGCGCTAGAAACAGCACAGGTGACAGTGGTAAGAAAGGGTACAAGTGGTTCTTCTAGGCTGTTTTCATGGCCTGAGAGAAAGGTTAAGTGTTTATTGAGGGCTTATTATAGGTCCCTGAGTGATGCAAACTGTTTGTGCTCGACTGCTAAGCTAAAGATTGGCAGTTTGAACCCACTCTGAGGTACTGAGAAAGATTACTTGCAATCTGCTTCCTTAAGATTAAAACCAAGAGGTGCCTTGAAAGACAGGCCTGGTGATCTGCTTCCGAAAGGTGACAGCCTTGAAAACCCTATAGAGCAGTTCTTCTCTGCACACATCGGGTCACTGTGAGTTGGAACCAACTTGGCAGCAACTAACAACAACAGTCTCTGTGGAAGCAGATTGCGAGGCCTTTATTCCGTGGTGCTGCTGGGTGGGTTCAGACTGCCAACCTTTAGGTTAGTAGTCAAGCCCAAACCACTTGTGCCACTCAGGGACCTTTCTGTAAAATTATAGTCATCAAAAACCCCATGGAGCACAGTCTGTTCTGATACACATGGGGTCACCATGAGTCAGAATCGACTGAATGGTAATGGGTCTGGTTTTGGTTCATAATGTGTTCTAGATGGATTCTTGACATGCGTTGTCTGGTTTAATCCTTAGTCTTAACTTTAACCCATTGAAGTCTCAGATATGATCTCCATTTTGGAGACAAGGAAATTGCTCAGTTTTCTAACTTCCTTTCACATGGATTAGCTGTAGTTTTTCTGGGAAGAACTTTCTATCATCAGCCAGGACTAATTTGTTACCCTGAACTATGATACAAGAAAGGCAGTTTAAAGCTTAACTATTTCCTCTCACCACTTTCAGAGTCAGGAGTTGGACCTTACTTCAAATGTTAACCAGTGAGTTGAGGTTTGTTTTCTTTTTGTGTTCTTTTATTACTGTTTTCCTTATCACCATGAGCTCATGTGTAACATATGAAATCAGTTGCATATGTTAATCTTTTTCATCTTCAGATTGTCCTGTCTCAGCTGATAACAGCCCTTCCTGTTGGCTCCTTGCTCTTGGGACACCACAAGTCAGTGTTTGGTAGCTTTGAGCACAGCAGGAGGCCCTCCCCTCCTGTGCACTACCTGTCCCCGACTGCAGGCGGCCACCCCTGCGGCAGCCCTGCTTGTTTCAGTGAGAGTGGTATTTAGACTAGGAGCCCCCACCATGGCAACCTGGTGTTGTGGGGTTTTGTTTGCTTGTTTTTTGGTATTTAGACACTGCCCAGGTCCTGTGTGTGCCACTTGCTCTTTGGTTGTCAGTGCTTTTAGGCCTTTGCAGTGAGAAAGCAGGAACACATAGTTTGGCAGCGGGCACGGAGTTCACCCTGATTAGTTCCAGTTCCAAGTCAACATTACAGAATTTGTACTGTTTGAATTTGTATTTATATCTCTTTTCTCTCATGCTTGGATCTTTGCCACATTTCATATTTGCTTATCCTATCCTAGTTAATCCTGTACGTTATTCTACTACTACTGCATGCACACCCATGCACTCACAGACACACATTCAGCCACACTCATACTCACAGACATTGACACACACTCACACATTGACACACACAGTGACACACGCTTGCAGACATTGACACAATCACAGTGACACGCAGTGATACACAGTGACACACATAGTGACACAGTGGCACACTGACACTCAGTGACATTGTGATACACTCACAGTGACACACAGTGAAACACAGTGACACACTCACAGACAGCAACACACAGTGACGCACACACAGTGACACACACAGTGACACACACTCCCCGACAGGGACACACACAGACACACTAGCTTCAGAGTAGGGCTTCGACGGGCAGCTGCAGCTGGAGGATGGCAAGGCCTTTATGATTTCCTTGCCACTCGCTTGGTCCTGAGAACGTGTTCCATGAAAAGAGATCAATCAGAACACCGTGTTCTCGGGGTTGCTGGGAACGACCGACTCATAGTGCAGGGAGGTTTGTTTCCTTCCACGTGTTCCGTTTTTAGGAATTGCTTTTTCTCCTCCCCCCCGAATATGCCAAATCTTTATCTTTACACAACCAAACGGTATGATGCAGTTTATTCAAAGAAGCCTGGCTTCAGTCCCTGTCGCCTCTGCTCTGTCTCTGCCATCCAACAGGTAACCCTTTTTATGCACCTGGCTTTACCCTCTCAGTGTGTCTGTTTTGCAGATGTGAGCACATTTGTGTGTACATTCATCCCCTCTTTCTCACACAAAAAGTAACTTTGTTAGTCCTCCTTGGTATTATGGTGTTGCCGACAGGTTTGCTGTCACTTGTGTTATGCTGTTCTCTGTTACAGCTCACTGGTGTCTTACGTATGTGCACACACAGACACATATATACAGGCTTTCACTGGGGTCTGTTTTCCTTGCTTTTTTCTGGTATTTATGTGTTAGGAATTAAATTGTGTACCCCAAAAATTAGGGTTGTAATCCTAACTCCTCTTACCTGTGGAAGAGTCCCTGGGTGGTGCAAAAGGTTAAGCGCTGAACTACTAACTGAAACCCTATTGAGCAGTTCTCCTCTGCACACATGGGATCATCATTAGTTGGAATCAGCTGAGGGCAACTAGCAAGGACAACAACATACCTGTGGCTGCGATCCCATTTGGGAATAGGGATTTTGTTATACGAATGAGGTCATATCAGTGTAGGGTGTGTCTTCAACCAATCACTTTTGAGATGTAAAAAGAGCAGAGTAGGCGCAGAAGCAAGCATCAGTGGGGGAAAGAGAAATGCCTTGGAGATTACCAAGGAACCGAGGAAGAGACGCTGAGTAAGACAGGACCTTCTCAGAGAACTAATGAGAGAGAGCTTTCCCCTGAATTCAGACTTGTAGCCTTCTCAGCTGTGAGAAAATAAATTGCTGTTTGTTAAAGCCACCCACGCGTGGTATTTCTGTTACAGCGAGACTGGGAAACTAAGATGGTCCATCACGGTGGTGGTGGCAGCAGGGTCCCATAGGCACTGAAACCTCTGAGGGAGTGAAACCTTCCTGTGCAGTCAGAAGAACTGTAGTAAACAAAACCCAGTGCTGTCAAGTCAATTCCAACTCATAGCAACCATGTAGGACAGGGTAGAACTGCCCCATGGGATTTCCAAGACTAGTCTTTATGGAAGCACACTGCCGCATTAAAAGACAATGAACAGAGTCACAGATATAATATCAAATGGCCTGACATTTCTGTAACTGTTCCCTAAGGGAGGAAAGAGTGCTACACTTAGAAAATATTTATGAGGAAATAATGTTTGCAAACTTCCCAAATTTGGCAAAAGATACATATCTACATATCCAGACATATCACAATCAAACTTTGGAAAGCTGAAGACAAAAAAAGAGCTTGTAAGCAGGCAGAGAATAATGATGTATTTACTTATGGGAGAACAGCAATTTGAATGACTGTAGATTTGTGATCAGAAACTATGAAAACATAAAGCAGTGGAACGACATCTTTAAAGTGCTAAAACTAAAAACCTATTTACGGCAAACATAGAATCTTTTGAATCAATACGGATTCCCTCTGTCGATTCTGGAAACAGTGGAACTACAGAAAATGAGCAAGGATCTAAAAGAACTGAACGGCACCATCAATCACAGGGGTCTGTGACTTTGCCACCCAGATGCAGCCACTTGGGTCTCGAGAGTGCTTGGCCCTCTGCCCACGGGGCTGTCCCCACACTCCCATCTGAGCTGCAGACAGCGGTGAGAGGGGCAGCCTGGCGCCATCCGTGGTCATCCTGGCCGTCCTGGCAGCCCTGCCTGTGGCAGCCTCCTGGCTCTCCCGCCCACAGGCCCAGGACTGCGGTGTGCTAGGAGGAGGGAGTGGGGGCATGGGAGTGGTACGCGGCTCTCTGGAAGCCAGCCCTGAATAGAACAGACATCCACATACACTCAGCGCTTTGCAGCCACCTGGCCGAAGGCCTCCGTGCCTGGTCTGGCCTGTCTCCCTGTCCAGGGACCAGTTGGGCTCTTTGAGGATTGCGATCCAGATGTTTCCTAGTTGTGGCTTCCTGACTTCTGAGACCCCCTAATCAGAGTAGCCTCTCGCCAGCAGAAGCCAGAGGGTGACTAAGTCTTTTTATGTTTGGCTTGCGATTTGACAGAGCATTTTTACAGCAAAGGTTGGGTGAGCTGAGCAGGGATCACTCTGCCCCTGTTGCATGGATGATGTCTTAATCTCTAGTGCTGCTGTGACAGAAATACCACAAGTAGAGGGCTTTAATGAACAGAAGTTTCTTTTCTCACAGTTTAGGAGGCTAAAAGTCCGAATTCAGGGCCCTAGTTCTTGAGAAAGTCTCTGTCTGTGATGGCTCTAGGAGAAGGTCCTCACCTCAGCTTCTCTTCTTCGGTTTCTTGGCGATCTCCACGTAGCATCTATCTTTCCCCCATTCATGCTTGCTTCTGTGCTTATTCTGCTGTTTTCATATCAAAAATGAGTAGATTTGAGACACCCTGCCCTGATATGACCTCATGAACATAACAAAGAAAGCCCTATTTCCCAATGGGATCACATCCACAAGTGTAGGGATTAGGATTCCAACACATATTTTGGGGGACACAATTCAATCCATAATAGACAAGGAAACTGAGACCCAGAGCGGTCAAGCAGCTTTCCTGGGGGCTCCCAGGCCAGGGCACATTCATGTTTACAGGTTCTTCACACACAGTCAGGAGCCCCCTCCTGGGCCCCTTCCCTTCCTGTGGAGTGTGGACTGTCCAGTAATCTGACCCATGCTCCTCCAAGCCCAGAGCTCCTGGCCATTCACTTCCTGGGATGAGGGGAGGCGTTGGTCACCTCTTGCTCTGGACCCTTTGGGGCCCTTCATCTCTGAGCCTCTGCCTTCTTGGCAGGAGATTAGCATGTGTCGGAATTGACTCAGCGGCACACAACAACGTGCCTACTGTGAAGTATCGTGAAGGTCAGAGGTGGTGCAGACAGTTAAGTGCTCAAGTGCTAACCGAAAGGTTGGTGGTTCTGATCCACCCAGAAGCACCTGGAAAGAAAGGCCTGGTTATCTACTTCTGAAAAATCAGCCATTCAAAACCCTATGGAGTACAGTTCCACTCAGATACATGTGGGGTTGCCGTGAGTCGGGGTCAATTCAACGGAAACTGGTTTATCATGACACACCTGGGTGTGCTACCGTCCAACTGTGGGATCCTGGATAAGCTACTTAGTTCCCACTCCCCGTCTCCCAGCCTGTTCCTATGCTGCAAGGTGGCTGTAGTGCTGCCACCGTCCCCGACACACTGTCTTGTTCCACGCCTGCAGACCTACATCTCCCAGTGGCCCTGGACGCTCCTGCTCCTGGCCGTGAGTGGCTTCTGCAACTTTGCCCAGAACGTCATCGCCTTCAGTATCCTCAACCTCATCAGCCCCCTGAGCTACTCGGTCGCCAATGCCACCAAGAGGATCATGGTCATCACTGTGTCTCTCATCATGCTGCGCAACCCGGTCACCAGCACCAACATCCTGGGCATGATGACAGCCATCCTGGGCGTCTTCCTGTACAACAAGGTGAGCCAAGGGGAGGCTGCCCTGCCAAGCCCCGGGGCCGCTATCGAGGTGGTAGAGGGGAACGAAGGGGCTGGAGCACCAGGCACCAGCTTTGTCACTCGTGGGTTTATGATCTCTGGCATGGCCCCGTTCCTCACCAGGCCTCCTTCCCCTCACACAGAGGTGTCAAGTCCTAGGCATGCCAGCACTGTCTCTCAGGTGTACAGGGGGCCTTGGCAGCTAAGGAGGCGAGGATTTCTTTCCTTCTCGCAAAGGCTCTATTTAGTCTGGTGAAGGTGTGTAGAGGAGCCTGGGTGGCGCACACGGTTTGTGATCGGCTGCTACTCCAAAGGTTGGTGGTTCAGACCCACCCAGCCACTCCATGGAAGAAAGGCCTCGTGAACTGCATCTGTAAAGATTACAGCCAAGAAAACCATATGGAGGACAGTTGTACTCTCTAACACATGGGGTCGCCATGAGTCAGAGACCAACTCAACAGCAGTGGGTTTGGTTTTTTTTCAAGGTGCATGATGGTGGCTGATAGGACTTGCTTTCCAGTCTTTCTGTCCTTTGTGGGCTCATTAACTGTTCGCTGGCCAGGCCCAAGCTGCTCTGGGTGAGATTTGTGTCTCCTTGAAGAGCTGATTGGTTGGACTTGGGAGCTCCCTCTGTCCTCTGGGCCTGCCCTGCAGAATGAGCCAATGCAGCAGCCTCCACAGTTATAATCCAGTGACAGTGATTACATTTTTCATGTTGTGCCACCACCATCGCTGTCTTTTTCCAAAATATTCCACCACCTTTAACATAAATTCATTGTCCCCTAAGCAAAACTCCCTCCCACCCGAGATAACACTAGTGTAATCTTTGGTTTCCATATAGTCGCTTATTTCATATAAGTGAAATTGTACGATATTTGTCCTTGTGTGACTGACTTATTTCGCTCAACATGACGTTTTCAGGGTTCATCCATGTTGTGGCACACATCAGGACTTTATTCCTCCTTATGGCTGCATAATATTCCATTGTATGGATGAACCACGTTCTGTTTATCCATTCATCTGTTGATGGACATTTTGGTTTTCTTCCACCTTTTGTCTGTTGTGAAAAGTGCTGCAGTGAACATGAGTGTGCAGGTTTCTGTTGGTCTTCCTGCTCGCTTATTTTTGGTAGATACCTAAGAGTGCAATTGCTGAGTCATATGATAGTTCTGTGTTCAACTTTTGGAGGAACCGCCAAACTGTTTTCCACAGCGGCTGCACCATTTTACATTCCCACCAGCAATGGCTGAGGTTCCAGTTTCTCCACCGCCTCACCAACACCTGTTGTTTTGTTTTTTTAATCATATCCATTTTAATAAGGGTGAAGTGGTATCTCATTGAGATTTTAATTTGTATCTCCCTAATGGCTGATGACGTGGAGCATCTTTTCATGTGCATGTTGGCCATTGGATATCCTCTTGGTGAGATGTCTGTTCAAGTCCTTTGCCCATTTTTTGATTGGGTGGTTTATCTTTTTGTTGTTGACGTGTGGAAGTTTTGAGCTGGGTGGTTTTTAATGTCTCTTTCCCATGCAGACCAAGTATGATGCCAACCAGCAAGCCAGGAAGCACCTCCTCCCCATCACGACAGGGGACCTGAGCAGCAAGGAACACCCCCGGGGCACACTGGAGAAGCCCCAGAACGGCCTCCTCTTCCCCCAGCACACAGACTATCCGTATGGCCGCAACAACATCCTAACAGATCACTTCCAGTACGGCCGGCAGAACTACCCAAACACGTACAGTTTGAACCGATATGATGTGTAGAGTCGGGAGCACAGGGCTCCTTCCCCCACCCCCAGCAGTACTGGAAACTTCTGACAACCAGAATGTAAAGCCGAAGGGACGCTGCAGAATCATGGGGTGTCCCCAGCCCCTGGCCTCCCATGCTTCCATGGGCAGCGAGAGGACCAGCAGAAGCAAAGACTTAAA